AGAGAGAGAGAGAGAGAGAATAACAGAATATAAAATATATGCGTATAGATGAATAAAAAGAAAAAGTAAAAACAAAAAAGAAAAAAAAGAAAAACAGAGAGGGAAAGAGAGAGTAAACAAGAGTTAGAGATAATGAAGAAGAAGAAGAAGATAGAAAATAAAAAAAAATAGAATAGTTTATTTTTTGAGAACGAATCCAGGCTGGCCCTGTGCATTCAAGCGTACACATAAATACGAAATATAGTTTATCAATTATTATACCATACGAGCATACATACATACATACATAAATATATATATATATATATTTTATCAACGAGAATAAAGAATTACATTGACTATTACCCAATAGATGGTTGTGAACGAAGTCTAGAATTTTTACAAATCAAAATAGCGGAGCGCTGTTTTCGATCCCGCGGATTGAATATCTCTCGCATCCCTTGTTTCCGCTCGAACAATACCAGCACGATGCAGGGATAGACTATAGACGCGTTCAAATTTCTACCTACGTATATTGGAAAATAATTGTCTGGCGGAACAGTGAGTCGAAAACTGAAGAAAAGATCCTCGTTTCGAAATAAATCAGCGAGGCGCGAACAAAAGGATCATCGGGCGATCTAATACGAATATCTATAGAATGCGCGTGATTTCCGAACGAAATTGCTTCACAATCCCTCGTAATGCTCCTCGTTTATTTTCAAATTTATTTTTACACTTTTAATACATCCTTTGATATAATTAAATTCATAAAACATAGAATTTAAATTCTATGTTTCGAGCAAATGATTCTATTCTTTTCTTTTTTTTTTTATTTTAATAAAATTATTTCTTAAATTAATTCTTTGATAAAACTAGTTAAAGTAGAGTTTAAAAGTTTTCTTGAAATTTCCATTCTTGAAATAACGAGGAATAAATAATTTAAGCTGATCATCGCTGAAACAATTTATTGGAATAATCCGTTATAAATGATGGAATGATACAATCGGGTCGTTTACCTTGTCACGGCCACGAAAACGTGCATTACGAATATTTAAAGTCGCCATGTTCCGCAAACACCGGTATTCACCATCGCATAAACTTAATTTAACGCGACGTGAAACATATGCGGTTGCCTATTACCCATGTACATGTGTGATGTTATTATAGAGCAGCTATTAGCTTTCGATACGTGAAATAAATAAATATAGTGCGTATAACAATAATCGCTTTCAATGGTGGTCACGACCGCGGTTAGATTCAACCGTGTTAATCAAACACCTCTTTCGTGCTTCCGAGGTTAATTGTTTCTCTCGATCAATTTATGCATGAAAATTCGCGAAGAAAAACGTTCTAAGGACAATAACCATTTAACAGGATAGATTCTCCTCGACGTAGACTTCGAATAGAGCAATATATTCCTAAACCGTATCCGTGAAAACATCCAACGTGTAACCGTTGCTCCGTGTTGAAATCGTGCAACGCGAGCACAACAACAGCGAAAAAGAAAAAAAAAAAAAAAAAAGAAAGGAAAAGAAGAAGAAGAAGAGAGAGAGAGAGAGAGAGAGAAAAGTAAAAGAAAAAAAAAGAAAAAAGAAAAAAACATAAAAAAAAGTAAGTGATGTAGATGTAGAGGAAGACAACGTTTACTAATTCACGCTCTTACGCCAATTGTTCGCGCAAATATTCTTATTCAACGCGATAAGTGTTTCGACGTAAAAGCTCGTCGATGTGTGGACACCGACGTTGTAATAACGCACCCGAAGTACGTGCATTCACGAGAAATTGAGACACAATGCCGGGGACGAGAATGCCTCTACTTATTTATTTAAGGTATGAACGTTGGAGGTAATTTCTATTATAGCGTTTGTCTACCTCATCATCTATCCCTTTCTCGCGAAAAAGGAAGGAAGGATTTCTGAAGGAAGATATAACTTTTAGAAGGTAAGAGTCGATTACTTGACGATGTTTGCTGAAATTTATAAGCTATTAGTCGGAATACTTTTGAGAAAAGTGTTATAAAATAAAACTTGAATAATAAGTAATTTGAAGTAACAAGTTACATTTACAATTATTTCAATAATGATTCGAAAGAAAACGATTGTGTAACGATAATTGAAAGAAATATTTCGAACATTTATCCAAGATTGTATCGATTATTATTGTATAATAGGAGTTTGTGTGTATATTGAATATGAAAATGTGTGCACGTGCGAAGGGCTGCGTCGTAGAGAAGAGTGAATCGATGCGAACGATGCGGAGCGTGTACGATATCGCACAATTAATAAATTACAAAATGTATATCAAAAAAAGAAAAAAAACAAAAAAAATTAAAAAAAAAACGTAACTCACGTGTATAATTGTAAAATTCGAGAAAACGCGTAAAATGGCACCGATAATTGTTTCGGCGTCTAACGATAGGATCGGTGAATCGCGATGGCTCGTATTTCATATCGATCAACGATCAGTCATGAGAAATACTGAGGCTGCAATTCTGGATACGCATGGGCGTCTTTGGAAAATAGATGGATGAAGGAGAACAATCTACGCAAAATGGAATTGTTGCATGATCCTCAGATACCAGATTCGAATATCTTTTACATATCTTCAACTCGATTCTCATTAATTCTGATATGAATTGTTACTTAATGTATTATTTATTTTTTCGAAAAATTATCTCGTACACCGTTATAATTTTGTGATCATGTGTCTGGTCTCTAAAGATCGATCGTCAAAAATCAAGCGATATTTCATTTCTCTGTGTTTCATGTAGCTGAAATGAATAATAAAATATAAACTTATTTAAATATCGAAGCATAGATTGCTATATGCTATATGATGACCATAAAAAGAAGTATCCTTCGAATTATCTGAAAAACAAACTATGGCGAATTATAAGCGCGTAAGTAGGAGTACGATATGAAATGTGTCAAGTCTGAAATAGCATAGCACCGTAGACAGTAGTGCAAAACTTCAAAAGCTTTTTAGTAGTTAATCCTTTGAAATGTATATACCCATATACGTATATTTGTATAATTCTCGTACCGATACACGTATCCTGGTCAATTTGGTCATTGGCTGCCCGTGATTCTTTCGAGAGATCCTTCGAAATTCCAGCGACGCCCATCATTGATCACGTAAACGACGTAAAATAAATAAAGAAACAAATTATAACGTTTTTTTTCTCGCACGATCCACGAGCATTGTATCACAGACTGAAGTCAATTTCGCGACATAATTATATCACATAATCGTGATGGTCGCATCATTTTAGAAATGATGCTTGTAGTAGAATATTAGAACGAGCTGAGACTGAGGAACGTTTTTCTATGCATGCAAGAATCGATGCTGATGCGCTTGATTTGTGATTGGTCTAGCGGTTCTATTGATTGATCTATTGAAGAAGAATGTCTCTAGATTTATATGTTACTGGAATAAAAAAAAATAAATAAATAAATAAAAAAAACAAGGGAAAGAAGTTATCAAGAATTACAAATTCTCTATTATCAATGCTATTAGCCAGAACTTCTTTCGATGGCTTTGTGGTAGTAGTCTTCGCCAATAAGATGTTCCACGTATTTATTGATACCGTTCAACATTATCGATATTCTCTAATTCCAAATTCTACGTTCGATTTTTTTAATTCTCCTATTACATTTGGATTCACACGTTACGAATAAATTTTCTACCAAATTTAAAAAATTGTACAATTAGAATAAGCTTTCGAAAACGTAATAGGAGAGTGAAAAAATAATCGCAATTATATCTTGATTTCTCTGTCGACAATTTTTTAAACGAGAAGGAAATTGGATGAAGCGTTAATTTTAAGCCGGGAATATCTTTCAGCAGCCAACACTTTGGATACAAACGAGAATTAGCTATACGTCATCAACCTGTCATCGTCACTTCTTTTTAATTTCACATTTTTCTATTCACACCCATGTACTATTAATGTGCGTCGATGTTCGAAGTTAGCGGGTTACTTTTTTTCTTTTTGTAAAGGCGGTTCACTTTGCATCGTTCCATTGGCCGTTTGTCAAGCCAGTGAGTGAGTTATCTTCGAAGTAATATTCCCACAAATATCGATCGTGGATGAACGATATTTATGGGGCGCGCATGCATATCATACGACGAGGCGTACGAACGGACAGACGAGCGTTGATTAACAAACAAATTACAGATAAGAGGTTTTTTTTTTTTTCTCGTTGAGCGAGAGAAGAGCAACCAAAGAGAAACGAAACCACTGTTTACTAGTCTACTCTGTTCATGAAAGTGATATAAAATAATCGTATATTTAACCGAATACGCAGGCGAGTAAACAATAAGTAACCCGGTACCGCTAGAAGCACGTATTTTCTAACGAGTGTGTATAATCTATATACTGTATATTCGGGCACCCAGGTGCCTCTTGCGATTGTGAATGAAATAAATAAATCGGTACCATATAGAACATCTGTTGTTTAACTTTAGAAATCCTCGATTTATCCCCAATTCCTTTTTCTTTTATTAAAATTTGTGAGCTGTACACCGTATTGTGAAATAACACGTAAAGAAGATTTAAGGGTTAAAAATCTATTCTATAAGATCGTTATTTGGGATTTAAAGGTCGAAGTGGTAAAGATCAAGATCATTTAGAAATGAAATCATCGATTATCGAGTATATTGATAAATAACGAGTTAAATGAAAAACGGAACTGCAACATCAAATGTACTTTTCATTTATTTGACTACTTATCTTTACAGATTAGTCTACCTTATGCTAAGATACAACTTTCCCATTATGTTACCTCTAATCGAAACGTTACGATAATACTAAGTATAAAATAAGCAATAGAGCTTATATTGGTATGTAGCAACGACTTAAGTACCTCTACTTAATAGTACTTTGTTAAAAGTGCCGGGAATTTAACCTGCGTCGTCCGTGTCTCCGACGAGACTGTGATCGACGTGCGGTGTCGCAGTTACAAGTTTTGGCTTTCGATCGGAAATCATATTTAGACAAGCATCGAGGTTTCATTTTTAAAACGTTAATTAACTTTGCAGTCATTTGTTCGTCGATCGAACATCGATCCATGTTTGTTTCTTTTCCCTTTTTCTTTTCCCTTTTTCTTTTTCCTTTTTTTTCTTCACTTCACTTTCTCAAGCGTTCTACGTATCATCTAAATCGCGTCGTCAATTGTGAAAAAAGTTATTAGGCCATATTGCATATTTCTTCTTTTCGTGTCCCAATTACATTTTCTTTTTTCTCAATCCGCTTTTTCTCCAATCCCCTTTAAATAATTTTTCTTCCCATTTCAGCGCGCTAAAATCGAAAATTCTCATTGTTTCATTGATTTGAATACGCGGTTTCTAAATAGTAGCTTGAAATTACGATCAACAATGACATGGTGGTGAAATATACATTATGTATATATAGAAAACAATATGCCGCGGAACGATGTTCAGTCTTGAAGAAATGTAACTGCAGCGATTAAATTGATCTGTTTTGTATATGTGTCTGTATGTATATACGTATGTATGCATGTGTGTATGCGTGTTTGTTTGTGTGTGTGTGTGTGTGTGTAAAACCGGATGGGCTTAAGCTTAATCCAGAGCGGATGGCTCGTGTAGCATTACAAATGCTGTACAATTATTTAAATCGTATCGCTTACCATAAGAAACGGATTCACGATTATAAAACGCTATTTTGACGCAGATGAAACTCGATGATTTCGTTTAAACAATCGCAGCTCTACATGATTTCTCTACATTATAGTTCTTATTATTCTCTGTGTGTATGTGTTTCTTCTTCATCGTCGTTTTTTTTTATTCTCTGCTTTATTATTATTTCTTCTCTCTCTCTCTCTCTCGCTCTCTTCTCTCTTCTTCTTCTATCTCTCTCTCTCTCTCTCCCTCTCTTTCGCTCTCTACAATCTCGCATATATTGACTTTTATCGATTGATTGGAAAATTATCTCGCGTGTAAGAAGAAGTTCGCGACGATGAGGAAATTTCCTTTATTAAACGCGAACGATATTCACGAGATTAAGATTTTCGAATTTACAATCGATCGATTCTCGTCTCGATCTCTCATCCATCTCGAATCGATCTCGAATCGATCCTACGTCATCGTCGCGATTTTCTTCTTCGGTCGCAGCGCAGTTAAATACTGAACAGGTTACGATTCTAACGACTAAGCGTCCGAGTAAATGTTATACCGCGACATTTATGCGCTTTCCTCTCTCATCCGCCCATGGTTACGCTTAAAAAACGTAAAACGTTTGATTTGAAATCTGTATGCAAGGGCAGCAGTTTCACACGAATCATTTAATCTTCTTTTACGTTTTTGCCTATCTATTTCGTTTCTTTCGTTTTCCCCCCCTCTTTCTTTCTTTCTTTTTTTTTTTTATCTGTTTTGTGTGTGCTTGTTTTTTTTTTTAACACAGTTGCATACGGCTCGCAATTACCTCGCGCTTTCTTACGATTCACGGGTGAAGAACGTCGTGTTTTCTTTTTCTTTTCCTTTTTTTTTTCTTATTTTTTTTTATTTTTTTTTATTTTTTGGCTAGACACGGAAATCATCGGACGAACCCTAACTCGTTTTGCAATTGTACAAATCTCTGTTTCTTTATTTATTTATTTATTTTTTTTTCATTTTCTCACTTTTTTTTTCTTTCTTCTTCTTCGCTTTCTTCTTACTAACGTGTCGTTCGCATATTGAGCGATTAGTTTATTACATTATTCATTAATAAGTACACGTGCCAAAATGCACCCACTTACGCGTGTGATGTCGAGAGCACTAATCAATTTATATGTATATACCTCGTAATCATAGTAATGGTAATTAATAATAATAATTATATGAATTAATAATGAGAATAAAATGTAGTTGTAATAATAATTATATATAGGCAAACCTTTGTTGTAGCGTTGTACTTAGCGTTATTTAAAATAGTAGCGTTACTCTTACGTGTACCGAGTACGGACAGAAAATTGATTTTTTTTTTTTTGTTTGTTAACTTCCTTTATATATATATATATTTTTATATATATATATTATATATATATATATAGTAATATGGAGGGAATTTACTAACAACTTGCTCGAAAAGTGCAGCATTCTCACGAACCTATAAACAAATATAAAAAATTTCCTCTTTTTAAAATCTTTTTGTTCCTTTTTTTTTTTCGTTTTTTCTTTCATCTTTTTCTCGCTCCCCCCCCCCCTCCCCCTTTTTTCCACATTTTGTCATTCCTCTTTCGTTCATCGTGGTACATTTCAACCAGGATTACTCTTCTGCTTTGATGTTTGTTGTTAGGGATGTTAATTTTACACGTTTGAATCGCGAATGATCCAAAATATCCGTTCGAATCTCCCGCTTCTTCTCGTGCTCTTTAAAAGACTCAAATTTGACAAAGAAAGGACATCGTATATATTGGAAAAAAGCAGAATACAGTCGAAATGTCACACGTAAATATGCCGTGCTTATATGTCACTTTCTGTTTTCTCCTTTTTTCTTTTTTTTTTTTATTATCTTTATTATTATTAATCTTTTCATCTATTTTCCTTTTCCTTTCCCTAACTCCATCGTAGTGAAAATAAGGTGTCGATAATACTCGGACTGTACATTAAGTACAATGTGTGAACAGGTTGCACGCGTGACAAGCTATCTCCACGCGTGCGTGGAAAAATTAACATTATCCAAAGCACCAGGCACGATCCTCTTCCTCGTACACACGCTCATACATACACGCACGCATGTAGCAAACGCGTCCACATTGATTCTTCTCTCTCTCTCTCTCTCTCTCGGTCTTTCACACTTTTCCATCCACGTCCCTTTCCTTCTTCCTCTTATCCTCCATTTCTGTTCGCCTCGACGAGGCAAATTTTTCTCCCCCTTGACACACGAACGAAACGACACGAACAACCATGCAAATAAGCACGCTCATAACGAATAGTAGCGATATAATAATACCATCATTGTTTTTAACACGTTGTTGCACACGTAACATTGTTCTATGCGTGTATAAATTGTACGATTAACGAGCCACGGCGTGCACGATACGAGAACCGACACTGAAGAAACGTTCATAATAAATCCCTTATTACAACGTTATACATGTCGCGGCACATCTTCTTTTTATTTTTTCCTCCTTTGTTTGTTTGTTTGTTTGTTTGTTTGTTTGCTTGTTTCGCAAGAGTGATTGATCGCTAGAACGACGGCATCATGCACTTATTACTTTACACCTACCACGTAGACAGTATCGTAACATGATTTCTTTTTGTTTTTTTTCTCTTTCTTTTTCCTTTTTTTTTTTTTCATTTTAAGTGTTAAATTCACAGTGACATCTAAGGAATTCGGGGATTTCGTCGATAATCCGCCACGTTGTTTTCGCCACGATTCTTGACTAGAAGCATCCTGAGACGTAGAAAACTTCTCTACTCCTATCTCGATTCCGTTTTTTTTTCTTTTTTTTTTTTTTGTATTATTGTTGATTATTAAGTACGTTTTCCCGGACAGAAAATGGCAGAAGAATTGTGTAAAAATTAAGTATCGAACTCGCGAGATATGTTGACGTGGCCGGATTAACGACGTAACCGCAGAAACTCTCGCTCATTTAGTTATTCTCATTTACACGGCGCGCCCCCATTTACACTTACACTTCGCCCTCTCCTATTCTTTCTCGTCCCCTCTCCCCCCTTGCCATTCATTCTTTCGCCCACGAAGGTCAATCTGATCGAAAGAATACCGATCGATTTTTCTCATTCGAAGGGAAACACATCGAGATCTACCGAGAGTTTTGTCTAACAAGCGTGCGCGTGAAAGGAAGGACTCATCGTCGTTGATTCGCTTCACTTGCGAAACTGGCATGATCGCTACGTGATCAACGACACCAACGACGATATTCGCGTCGATCGAATCAATTGAAAGCAGCTGTGCACGCGCGCGTTCCTCTTTAATCCCGGTATACAGCGATGTATACCGGTGTTGTTCAAAAAAAAAAAAAAAGAAAGAGCGACTAGCATTTCGTGATACAACGAAACGACGAGTATAGACGAGAGTCGCATGGATCGTATTATCATTTCTCGAACAATCCTTCCTCACATTTCTTTTCTTCTTTTGACGATTTGTTTCGATTCGACCTTGATCTTTCTACGATTCCTTCTTCTCGTTCATGATATTTTTCTTCTCTTTTTTCTCAAGAAACGAAGAACCTTCCCTCCCCCTTCCTCGTTCGAATCATCATACGCGGCGACACGTTCACACACGACCATAACGTCGATCCCAACGAATTCGGATAAATCCACGTGATTCAGACTCAGACTCGTTTTTCGTTTTTTTTTTTCTTTTTCTTTTTTTTAAAGCCTATTTAATAATTCTTTCGTTCTCTGCTCTGATTAATTATACATCGCGTGCGAAAATACCAAGAAATATCCTCGCAAAAAGTTAAGCTGGACGGCTTTGATCAAAAATTAGGATCTCTTTCGAAGGACGTGATTATCGGGAGAATAGGAAGTGTTTGCGGGTGATGATTGTGTGTACATGATCGTTGATAATAAAATACGTGTGAGACGTTTCCTCGAGATTCAGGGTATATACGATTCAGCGTACACGAGGCGAAAAAAAAAAAAGAAAGCTTCGATCGCCCACCCCCTTCGCGACAATAATGCCTTCTTTTTTTTTTTTTTTTTTTTTTCTTTTTTCTTTTGTGCAAACTTGTGTACTCCTTGTCCAAGTGTACGGTTAAATATTAATACTTCGTGGAGAGAAAAAAATTTGTGTATATACGTGGATCTGTGTGATCAAAGTGTGTGTACGTGTGTGTCGTTTACGCTCTTACATCTCGATAAAACCGATACTTACTAAAGTGTGCTTAGCCAAAAAGTGTCTCATTTATCACGAGCAGCAATTTACGACGTTATTAGCGCGGAAATTCTCTCTCTCTCTCTCTCTCTCTCTCTCTCTCTCTCTCTCTCTCTCTCTCTCTC